TTTGACTTCTTTAGTTAGATTAATTCCAAGGTATTTCATTTTCCTCAGTGTCATTGTAAAAGGTATTGTTTCTATAATTTCCATCTCAGTGTGTTTTTTATCTGTGTAGAGGAATGCTATTGACTTTTGGGTATTGACTTTATAACCTGCTATGCTACTGAATTTCTGTATTAATTCTAGTAGCTTCTTGGTGGATATCCTAACTATTCTGCATATACAGATACAAAATGGTCATTCATTTGTATCCCCTATTTTTGTTTAGTTGTGTCAGAGAAGGGTATTGCATTGTCATTTAAATATTGTAGTTGCATGAATTCAGTAAAATATTCCAATATAGTCCAGTAGTCCATAATAGTAGTGAGTTTTTCATAAGACTAGCAATGTTCAAAGTTGTTGACTTTAGCCTTTTACAGCTCAGTAAAAGGCTTTACTATATTAATATGACTTTACTTTTAAAACTTTGTTTTTATATTTTTCTGCTGGATGGTTAAGACCAAGATAAAGCAAGACCTATATAATAAGAAATGTATCTTTTGTATCTGATAAGGTCAGTCCAGTCCCCCCAGGATTTATCCTGTAACCCTGTACTGCAGTTTGCAGATCCTTTGTCAGTGTCAGCCACGTGGATGAGTCACGGTCATTGCTTGACCAGTTTGCTCTATGTGAAAGCCTGAGAGAATGTTTTCTCTCCATGTGACTCTCCTTAGGAATACTCTATGTCATCAATCACGTTGCTCTGTGGCCTCATAATCTCCTTGATCAGAAAATTTTGGAAACAATTGAGTTATATAATGTTACAGTATAGGTTCTTCTATGTCCTGAGTCTTCGCTGACCTTGAAATGCTAGGGCCAAAATGTTGGCTGTCTTTGTAGCCCTTCTTTTTCTCTAATTTTTGGTCTGAAAACTTAGGTTGTTCACCCTCCAGAAGAAAAGCTTAGTATTACCCTATAACATATGCAGTTGGGTATAACCTAACTATCTGTATGAATATCAGACATCTTAGGCATAACATGGAACAGGTATTTTCAATCAAGTATTGGTATGTTATCTTTAAGTCCCTCCAGAAGGTGAAGAAAAAAAATTAAAAATAAAAATATTTTAAAAATATGAATAAACAATTACATATTTTTACACAGAAATTTAGAAATCTAATCATATACAGCATTGTAGCAGGACAGTCCTGTGACATTTTTTTCTTCTCTCTTGTTTTCATTTGTTAACCTTTTTTTAAAACAAACATTTACTTGAGAGACAGTATGGCAATAATTGGTATGTCATGAGAAGCAGTACATATTTAGCATACCAGAATTACAGGCATTCCAAGCACGACCCTACTATTACACACTGCTGTCTTCAGTGCAGTTGCTTGGTTCACAGGTATCAACATATCAGTAGGGAGATAGCTGGCTTGAATGGGATTTCCAGTCCTCGTTTTTTAAGGAGTCTCCACACTGATTTCCATAATGGTTGCACTAATCTACATTCCCCCCAGCAAGGAGGAAGGGTTCCTTTTTCCCCACAGCCTCTCCAACATTTGTTGTTGGGTGATTTCTTTATGATAGCCATTTTTGTGGGATGAGATGGTATCTCAGTGTTGTAATTTGAATTTCATGAATGGCTTGTGATGTGGAGCACTTTTTGTATATTTATTTACTTCTTTAATTTCATCCTCTGAGAAGTGTGTATTTATCTTGGATAGCCATTTCTGGATTGGGTCTTTAAATTTTGGTGCCCAAGTGTTTTTTAGTTCTTTATAAATTCTAGAGAGCATACCTTTGTCTGAGTGCTTATTAGTTAAGATTTTTTTTGAAATTTGTGGGTTGTCTTTTTACTTTGTTGGTAATTTCTTTTGATGTGCAAAAACTCCTGAATAAGTGGAGGTTCCAGTTGTTAGTTCTTTCAAGTATTATCCATGCGATTTGATTTTTGCTCATGAATTCTTTGCCTACCCCTATGTCTTCAAGAGTTCTTCCTACTTTCTCTTCCAGGATATTTAGTGTTTCTGCTTTAATGTTTAGATCTTTAATCCATTTTGTCTTTAGCTTAGTGCATGGTGATAGACCTGGGTCAAGTTTTAGTTTTCGGCATGTAGAGAGCCAGTTTTTCCAGCACCATTTGTTAAAGAGGCTATCTTTCTTCCAGTAAGCATGTTTGGCCCTTTTCAGGTGGCTGAGCATGTTCATAGAGTATGTTCTTCTGCATCTTCTAATCTATTCCATTGATCCTCAGCTCTATTTTTTTTTGCCAGTGGTACATAAAGTTTAGGATTTTGGAAAGTAATTGTCTGTTTCAGCAGCTTCCAGACATTTTGTGAAAGACAGTTCACAGCCCTGTTTTCACTTTATCATGTGAAGATCATAAATTGTCAAAATGTATCCTTTTGGAATGATTTTAATTTGTTCATGTTGGTATCCACCAGGCCTTTCCCCTCCTCCTCCAGCTCTGCAGCAAATTTGCCTCTGTAACAGAGGTTTCTTTCTTGTTCTGGCCAGCTCTGGCTCATGCACAGAGTAAGTTTCCTGGTGTGGCTGGAGGAAGCTGCCCTGGGCTTTGGGAGTTGGAGGCTTGGATAGCAGCAGAATGTGGCTTTCCACTAGGTCTTCTTGATTTTTCCCAAAATCTGCAGTGTTTTTATATTTCTGCTGCTACAAACTAAGGTGTATTTATCTATTACTTTGTACTTCCTATGGATATGTCTAAGATTAATTACCATGAAAGAGAAAGATAATAGTATTAGTGATGTACTGGACATGATATTAATATGAAAATAAGTTAGTTAAAATTCTTACCATAAAATCCGTGTAATGAAAGCTGGATGATATAATTTGTTTCTTTCCAGACAGACAAAGAAAATTCTCACAAAGTTTGAAGATGTGGTCAGAAAATTCAAGAATATCCTGGTTTTCTAAGGATTTCACCAAGATGATTTGGTTTGGGTTGAAAGATAGCCAATGTATTAATTGAGAAGATGTGTTTTATTCATATTTCATGAGTATTTCTTTAGTAAAATAAAGGGAAAATGTTGAGTGTTACAATAATTTTCTTAAAGGAAGTAGAACTTGGTGTGATCATACAACCATTGTGATGTTCTACTGGCTTGTTCCAAATGTATGTTCTCGGTAAGCAATATCTTTTGCCACAACTACCCCTTTGTAATGTGTAAAGTTTGTGTTAAAATGAAAATACACATTTCCAAACCAGGTTTTTATTATTAAAGAATCACAATGACTTCTTGCACGTTCATATTTCTATCTCTCTTTTAATGCCTAGAAAAAGAGAAAAAGAAGAAAGAAGAGGTAAAGGATAAGGAGGAAAAAGAAGAGGCAAAGGAGGAAGAGTATGAACAAGGATAACCAGAGTACTGTGTCTGAATTCATCCTCCTGGGGCTCCCTATCAGGCTGGAAGAGCAGAACATATACTATGCCCTATTCCTCATCATATACCTGACCACAGTGCTGGGGAACCTGCTCATCATCCTGCTCATCAGGCTGGACTCCCGCCTCCACACGCCCATGTACTTCTTCCTCAGCCACTTGGCTCTCACCGACATCAATTTCTCATCAGTCACAGCCCCAAAGATGCTCATGAATATGCTGACCCACAGTCAATCTATCTCTTATGCTGCGTGCATTTCCCAAGCATATTTTTTCATATTGTTTGCGGATATTGACAGCTTCCTTCTCACCTCAATGGCCTATGACAGGTATGTGGCCATCTGTCACCCCCTGCACTACTCCACCATCATGAGTCGGAACCTCTGTCTCCTGCTAGTAATTGTGTCCTGGGGGTTATCCGTTGCCAATGCCCTTGTGCATACCATTCTACTATCCTTCCTCTCTTTTTCTAGAGACATCACTCTCCACCACTACTTCTGTGACCTCTCTGCCCTGCTCAAGCTGTCCAGTTCAGACACTACCATCAATGAGATGGTCATCCTTATTCTAGGAAGTGTCATCATAACCCTGCCATTTATATGCATTCTGTTGTCTTACGGTCACATTGGAGCCACCATACTGAAGGCTCCCTCAATCAAAGGGATCTGTAAAGCCTTGTCCACGTGTGGTTCTCACCTTTGTGTGGTTTCTCTCTACTATGGAGGAATGATTGGAATTTACTTTTTCCCCTCATCTAATAACACTAGTGAGAAAGATGTCATTGTGACCGTGTTGTACAGTGTGGTCACTCCCATGCTGAATCCCTTTATCTACAGTTTGAGGAACCGGGATATGAAAGGGGCTCTGCAAAATCTCTTCAGTAGAACAATATATTCATCATGATGGGCATTTTTCTCTGTTAAAGTTTGAGACCTTGTCAACCAGATGCAAGCATCCTTTTTTGAGGAATTGCTGTTTCTTAGTGATTTTTGATGTATTAGTATAGCATACTGTTTTTGGCCCTGGATATAGCTTTTGTGTCTGCAAAATTGTTCTTTTGACATTGTCTTGAAAAAATACTTTTATAAACATTCCTGTTAATGTTCCTTTGCACGTAGTGTCTTTGTTCTGTGAATATGTTAAAATTTTCTAGTCACCATGTTTAGACTTTTGTGTTTAATACTTTCTATTCTTCATTTTACCTTTATTTTCCTTTCTTAATACAATAAAAGTAATTCTATGCAAGGTTCATGGTTACATTTTTAACTTTGTGATGCAGCTGAAATTAATTTTCTTAGTAACACTTGTTGGAAATTTTTCCATTCTTTTTAAATTTTTCTTTCCCATTATTTTAATTACCATATAATATCAGCACTTGCTGACTGGCTTTCATTTGATTTTTCCAACATTCAAGTGCGTGACTTCACATCTATTTTCTCAAACACTTACTGCTACTTTGTGACAACAATTCAGAAACATCTTCCTGCCTCTTACAAACGCATAATATTTTATCTTTATGTGTAGTCATCCTCAGTGTATCATAGTGCCAGAATTTATTTTTCCTAATTCTAACTTAGTACCCATTGACCAACACTCCCACTTCTGACTTCTCTCCCTAGTAGTTTCAAAATTGCAACACATTTTTCCAAAAGTTTTTCCATTGTGTTAACATGACAGCAACTAGGTACACAACTTTTTTTAATGTTCCTGGAATGTCTAGAACTGGTCAAAAACTGTAATGAAATGCCTTTCTGAAAAAAGATATATCCAGAGATGAGATACTCATCCTACACTGTCAATAGAAACTTGATTGAAGCTTTCTAGGTCTTAGAAAAGTTCACTAAGTATGGTGCATAACTATGAGTGTTGAGACTTTTAGTGGCCATTCAGTTGCAGCCAGTTGGAGCAAACATTATGAATGATCAGTTTATTCTGATAAGGGGATTCAGCTTCTCTAGGTGAATAATGGGCAGGCCCGATGTCAAGAAATACAGATGATCTGAGCTGAGTTCTAGCAGGATTCCAGAAGAGTCAATGCAACTTTGTTTTTTGAAATGAACAATGGGTATTTCCTTGACCCAGCACATAATTGTGATTCAATATGTTTCTATGTCAAGTAGCACAGTGTTTTTATTTAGTCCTTAAGAAATTCACATGTTCAAGGAATGATAGTTAACTTCATTGCTATGAGCTAATTAATGTAATAGATATTTCCATATTCTTCATTTTCTTCAACTGTAGTATTTGTTGTACAGAAGGAAATTTACATTTAAGAGAGGTTTAGTAACTAGCCATATGCTAGTAAGGTAGTAATATTTTTTTT